CTCTCTCTCTCTCTCTCTCTCTCTCTCTCTCTCTCTCTCTCTCTCTCTCTCTCTCTCTCTCTCTCTCTCTCTCTCTCTCCATGTGTGTGTGTGTGATCACTGTAACGACGACTTGACGGAATGGATGGACTAGCTGTTGCTCAACCGCTGCACTTTTGTGGCATTTCTTGTTGTGATTGAACTTCCTTGGAAAACCTGTTGCAGGATGAGTTGTGCTACCTGAGGGAGGACCGGTCGTGCGCGGAGAATGGGAAAGGGGAGCGTATCCAGCAGCAGCAGGCGACACGTGCGAACGCCGGCGGGGAACTGTGGAAAAGGTCCCTCCACTTGAGAAAAGAGGTAATGACTTTACCAGACTCCGCCGTGAATGGTGCCGCTTTGGGATCGTCTGCGGACAGAGTGACAGATGCGTCCAATGGAGGGAGGGGGATGAGCGTCGACGGTGCAGCGGTTGCAGCATCAAGCCCTAGAGGGCTGGAGAGGGAGAGGGAGAGAGAGAGAGGTGGGGGGAGCAACAGGCGTAGGTCGAGAAGCCCAAGCCGGAATGGGTTAAGTCATCATCATAATGGCAATGGCTCTGGAAGCAGACGGATAAATTCTCAGGGAAAGGGATCGGGAGGAGGCAAAACGTACGATGAAGAGGGAGAAGGAGGGGGGGGAGGAGGAGGAGGAGGAGGAGGAGGAGGAGGTTACGCTGATCAGGGTAGGAAATCGCCGAGAGGACCAGCACTTGGCCTTGGATTTGGAACCGGAGCAGATACGGGTGCCGCTGGCATTTCCGCACTAGATACACTCTAGATAGTTAGCGAGTACTACCGGTTAAGACCACGTGATAAATGGCACCCGCATCTGCTCCTGTGTCAGCCTCTTGTGATGAAAGTGAGGTGACTGCGCAATATCGAGCACAGTGCAAGCTTTTACTTCTTCTTCGGAGTTGTTGTTTATTTCATCTCGCTAGGTCATCAACCGGTGTTCTTCCATGGATCGACAGGACCTGTATGTTTGACTTCTCCGTCTGCTAAATCGTTGAGCCGCGAGAGTGTCGGGGAGTCACACAGACTGAATGACTGACCGACGGACCGTGGCTGGCTGGCTAAAATATTCTTTTGCTGGCTGCACATGTTTCCAAGCCCGTTGGAGAAATGAAAATCGTTTCGAGTTCCAAGTTCCCGAGTTCCGCCGAGTTCCGCCGAGTTTCTAAGTATCGAGTTCCGAGTTCTGCCGAGTTCCAAGTCCCGAGTCCCGAGTTCCGAGTTCCGAGTTCAGAGTTCCGAGTTCAGAGTTCCGAGTTCCGGTGGATCTGAGGATGCCATGGGGAGAGCTCCTCGGATACATTCAGAGCATAGTCAGGCTAGGATTTCTCGGGACGTATCTGGTCACAATCGCGGACAGTCGTGGATGTATCTGACCACAATTATGTCTATAATTGGGGAAATGAAAACCGGTACGAGTTTTGGTAACCACGATCCCCCAAGGCTGCATTGCAGCCCACAACAGAATGGCTTGCGTGTGGCAAAATGCGTGTTTTGCAAGTCGTTATTAACTCGTTGATTCAAGCCAGGGTCTCTGTTAAGGCTGCACTGCATTCAGGTGGACAACAGAAAGACGAGAGGTAGAACGAACAGAAGGACGAGAGGTAGAACGAACAGAAGGACAAGAGGTAGAACGATAACGAGAGCCTTTATTAACTCGTTTGTCGTTATTAACTCTTTGGTTCAAGTCCCTATCTGTTTTGCAAGTCTTTACGTCATCGTTTGACGTCAGATTGTCTGCAAACAACTTTGCCGCGAGCCGTCGTAATGGTGTTCAGGTGGTAGAGCATTCCCGTGGTAAGGGAAAGGTCTCCGGTTTTTCGAGTCCTCCGGTAGAAAGAGTCGGCTCCGTATCAAGTTAACAAAAAGTGACATGCTCTGAAAGTCGGGGGAGCGCTAGGCTGCTGCTAGCGGCCGATCGTCTGTGGACATTGAGAACGAACAAACCTCAGATTCCGTCATTTCCGAGTTTACGTTGTTTGCTGCTGGCATCGCCGCATCGTCGTTGCTGACGTCCGAAATGTGCAAAAACAAAAAGCAGAGGTACTGCCGCGCTGTTGTTCACAAGCGAAATATGTGAAAACACAAAACTCTGAAAACAGAGATATTTGCTGTAGTTACGAGTGTCGGGAGCAGGCCACCTGTTCAAGGGTACTCTTGCCAGCTCCTCTTCTAGTGTCCATGTGCGATGAACACAGTTTGCGAACAGAGTTGCGTACCGCCCGTATCAAGTACGAAAGTATCGGGACAGAATTGTTTCCTGCCGGGCAGCAGCCAATCTTAAGAACGTGTGTCTCATCGATGACCCATTGTAAAGAGGGACCGGAAGATCGTCTTCCGGAAGGACGTGTGAAGTCAGTCAGTGTACACACACTCCAGCACTGCAGCAGCAGGATGGAAATCCATCTGCCAGTTTAATTCCACTTGTGAATCACTCTGTGTGATTACCCGGTGAGAGCTGGCACGACCCGACAAGACCCGGCAAGACCCGGCACGACCCGGCAAGACCTGGCAGGACCCGGCACGACCTGGCATGACCCGCGAGACCCGGCAAGACATGGCGAGACCTGGCGAGACACGAGCGAGACCTGGTGAGAGCCTGAGTCATAATATGGCAACTGCTCACTTGCTCGACTTGCTCGACTTGCTCAACGTGCTCAACTTGCTCGACTTGCTCGACTCGCTCAACGTGCTCAACTTGCTCGACTTGCTCGACTTGCTCGACTTGCTCAACGTGCCCAACTTGCTCAACTTGCTCTACTTGCTCGACTTGCTTGAGTTGTTAGTAATTGAAATAGGAGGGCTCCCAGGGTTCTTGCCCTTCTGAGGAGATGGATTTGTAATGAGGAGGCTGAGAATGAGGGCTGTTCACTTGCTTGACTTGTTGTTTTTAATTTGATAGGATAGGATAAGAGAGCTCCAGGGGTACTTAGCACGTAACCCTTGTTTTAGTACTTTAGCACTTGCTCTTCTGAGTAAGTTTGTACTTAAGAGTAGAGTAGTGGTAAGCACTATCTCTGGTGAGTAAACTGAGTTTGTGAGTTTGTGATGATATATGAGGAGTATGCCGTCTCTGGTCGCGTAAGGTTAAAAGTACTAAAAGTCTAAAAACCTATTGACAATGGCCAGAAGGTCTCTCTCTCTGGTCTGTCACTTGCCCAAAGGATCAGCCTTGGGACAGTTGGCAGAAGCTCTTTCTCCGCTGAACATGCGTTTTTTCTACAAAGTTCCGAAAGCAGGACCAGGTGCATTCTTCTGTGTTCATTCTCTGCAGAAGCTCTCTCTGGTCGCCTCCAGACAACGTGCATTCTACGGTGTTCATTCAAGGCGTAGGCGTCGGACAAGGTGCATTCTACTGTGTTCTTCCGAGGAGTAGGCTCCGTACCAGGTGCAGGTGCATGCTGAGGTGTTCTTTCGAGGAATAGGCTCCGGACAAGGTGCATTGCGCCCGATGAGATGCTGGCAGTCGGAGTAGGAGCAGCAAGAGGAGAGGAGGAGGAGGAGAGGAGGAGGAGAGGAGGAGGAGGACAAGGATACGCTCTCGCTGTTTGTGAAAGGATGAGAGGCTGGCAGTGGAAGGAGGAGGAGGAGGAGGAGGAGGAGGAGGAGGAGCTCATTGTCAATATAGATGCTCTGTTTGTTTGCTACAAGGCTTGTAAAGGGTTACAGCAGTGAGTAGGTGGAGGTCCAGCTGGAGGGAAAGGTGTAACGCGCATAGATTTGCTCTCTTTGATTTTGGAAAAGCTTTGCAAAAGGCGGTGCGGGGGGGAGCAGGAGGAGGAGGCCGGCGTGGTGCACAAGGAGGAGCTCATTGTGCAGAGAGATTCTCTCTTTGTTTGTGAACGGATGAGAGGCGTGCCGTGGGAGGAGGAGGAGGAGGAGGAGGAGGAGGAGGAGGAGGAGGAGCTCATTGTGCATTTATATGCTCGGAGACTCTTTGTTTGCGACAAGGATTGCAAAGGGATACAGCGGCGAGTAGGTGGACGTCCAGCTGGAGGAACAGGCGTAAAGCATTGCTGAATTGCCAACCGGTACCAAATGTTTTTTTTAATCCTGATCGTGCATCAACGAGGGGGGCGTAAAGCGTCGTTATCCTTGTGGGACATTCTTTTTAAGTGGAAGGGTGCAGAGAAGAGTAGCATGGCCGCTGCAAAGGCAAGGACGACGCGCACAAGCTGAGCAATGGTCGAAATTAAAAATGAAAAAAAAGGCGTAAACCATCGCTGAATGTGCGATCGGGTTTCTCCTCGTCAGGCAGGAATATTGCCGGTTTGGGGTTTTCTTCCCCTTCTACGGTTTTCAAACTTCTTCCTTTTTTTATTTTATGCAAATGTGGGATCCTTTGAACCCCCCCCCCTCTCCTCCTCTCCTCCTCCCCCCCCTTGGGATAAGGATGACGAGGGCGTTGTCGATTTATACATATATAAATAAATTTATATGTGTATCGTATATATGTATGTATCGTATATATGCATGTATACAGCGCTATACAGTGTATACACGTATGTTGATTTGTACATATAGACATTATCCTCTTCTCCTTCTCTGCCTATGGTTCACCGAGCAGCTCTGTTTGACGATATATACACAGTAGTATTAGCTTTGATATGAGTCGGCGCCGCCGAGAGTCGCTGTCGGGAGTCAGGAGAGCGATCCAGAGAGAGGGTTCTTTTGTTGGCAAGCTGCCTTTGTGGCAAACCATATCCTTTTTTTTTTTTT